ATGCTTGTGATGAAAACTGCAGGAGTGCCTTGATAACTCCGCAACTGGTCTGCAGAGACGGGTGACCAATCTGGAGGCCTTTGTGAGTATTTTCCTGACTTTAGATTGGAGTTAGGCACCTCAACCCTGCCCAGAAAGAAAATTACCATCGCCACCACTGTACACACAAGGGGATGCTTAGAGGGGGAAAGTGGGGGCAGCGCTTGGTATCTACAAGGCATACAAGGAGAGGCGAACTCCACTTGAAACCACATGTCAGAAGACTGCACTGCCTCCACCAGTAACGCCTACTACAAGGGAGAGGCTTTCATGAATCTTATGGCGGGGGAAGTAGTGTGAGAGTGGCGTTAGAGTAGTGTCAGGATGTGCGTTGCTCCATACAGGGTTTTCTTCCTTTTCTCAAGGAGCTTTCATAAGGCAGCCATCGCCAAATGCAAAGCCTCAAATCCAAACCAAACCGAGTCATCTGGAAATTTGGTAGGCATTGATGCAATGCTGATGGGCTTGATCATAAACGCCGCGGCTCGTCAACATCCCTGCAACGTGCCTTTCGCCAGCATTGCAGCAATATCGCTGTTGCACTACAACCACATCAACGTTGCTGCAACGGTGAATCAATGATCCAGCATGATTCATCAGCATACCATCAGGGCTGATTGATGCATATTGATGCATATTGATGCATGTGCATTTGCGGGCACTGTTGCATCAATGCCGCGGCACATCAATATTGTAATAGGACCGATTGCAGCAAGGATTGGCAACGCCTTAACAGATCTGGTGCGTCTGCCTTTGTAACGCCCCTTCTGCTGTTTGCCGGGTGCCACCCAATGCCACGGCCTGGCGTCGCAGCCCCTTTCGACTGCAGGCGCACCCCTCGTCAGTTGGCGAGGGTTGACTCCCCGCATCGATAGCGCATGGCACCGACCTTGGAACCAGATCAACATTTGAGCCTGCTCAATGGCGTCCAGCTTGAGCAACATCAAGGTCGCTTGTCCTCGATGGACAATCCGCAACCCTGCCCTCAGAGCAAGATTTGCAGTGGATGTGCCGCCGGACTCGCTGGCCAGCATCGAATTGATGGCCAACATGGAACATCGCCAGAGGATTGATCCCGGTCAAAACTCAAGTGCTGACCTGTGGCGCGCCCACATGGCAAGGGGCCTGGCGGTGGCGCCCTTGTGCTGCAACCCGCTGTGCGGTATCTAGCGCTGGCCACTGGAGGCACCAACGACTTCGCTCAGACGCTAGCCTCTCGAGCGACGCTTCCCTTCTGGATTTGTCATCTGGGAATACTCCAACGTTCATGTATTGCCCGAAGACGCCAAGGCACGCGTTCCCCTGTTTCCCATGTGTTCTCCGAAGACTATGCAGCTCTGATGATTTCCGGACCAGGCACGACATCAGCGACCAATTGCACGAAAAGCGCCTGGGAAGTGCAAGAAGGCAATGTTCCATGGGCTCTGTAGACGTGTGTCTGTCGCGCCGCTCAAAGACCTCCGCCCCCACTTTGTTGGACCGCTGCACTCCCAACGAAAGCGAACAGCGCGGCCGTCGCCAAGAACTGTGCTACGGTGAGTCGAGCCATTGCCATTACCCTGTTGCACGTGTCGCCTCCGCCCTCGGCGCCCTTCGTGGCGACCCGTAGCGGCCTGCGTGTGTACGGCACCTCCCATGCACGTGACTGACCCCACGCGGCCACGTGCCATCATGGTGATCACGTGATCACGTGTCATGCATGCCCAATACTCTGTTGGCACATGTAACACGTACGACATGTGATACTTGTGACATGTGATGGCCACACCACCTTGGCACGGGTAATACATCCTCCCCCCTCCCAATTCACAAAAGGGGGTTGCTGAACCGTACAGTGGGTACGGTTCAGTATACCGAAAATGCAAGATGTGAGAAAGTGAAATGGGGTTGCCTAGCCCCGGTTCACCGCGGTGTTAGCCCTTCACTAGCCGATTCCATATCGTGTAGCTCAAATAAGTCACTTAACACGTGTTGCGGCTAGGGTGAGGCTTGGCAAGGCTTACACTTGGCAAGTTCCCATAGTTACGCGCCCAAGCGCATCAAGCGCACATAGTGGGCAGCAGGACCAGCAAGCTTAAGTGTAGGTACAAGCAATTGTGAGGCGCCTGTCAACTAACATGAAGAATGACCACTGCCCTGTTTGTCAGCTTAACGTAATTGCAATATCCCATTTGCATAACAAGGTAGTTGGATTGCGGCATTGTTGTATTTTTCTCATTGAGCTTGTGCTATTGGTAGTACCAAGGTGCTACTGCTACTATTGCTGCTACCTGCACGTGATGGACATTGTGCGGCATGTGTGCTTGTGATGAATAAAGCACCAAAATGGCCGGCGTACCCTCATAGACGAGCGGGCTGAGTCCCATAGACCTCAAAACCACCAGAGTACAAATACCATATGTTAAAGCAGCCTCCATGTGCAGCTGCCCATTAGGGCTAGTAAGCTGCTGCTGCTGCTGCCTCACCAATGTAAGGATCCAAGCCTTCCACTTCTCCGCAGGGGTGCTGCCGTAGCGAGGCATCTCAATTTAGTGTTTGTGAGCAAACAAACTGAGCATTGAAGCCAAAATGCCTCCACCGACCAGCTCAGCCTTTCTCAACCTTGATTTCACGTCGATCATTGTTCATCACAGCCAACTGACAGGCAATCTGGCAACGGCTCACTTCATCAACAACATAGGTCGCAGATTCACTTCAATCGCCACTGATCGATTGAGGGATAACTACGTTGTTCCACAATGGATACAAATTTTCCGAGGCAGCTAGGTGGACGACGGCGCTCCATTCCAGCCTGGCTCATGCCACGATCAGTAACACGCAGCTGGAGTTAGGGAGCATTTTCTAGAGTTTTAGCGGGGCGACCCTGAGCGGTTTGCAAGGGAGAACTTGTTATGATTTCTGGCATCTGAATGTCGCCAATGTCGTGTCTGATGACGATGGTTCAAACCGCCCATGATCAGCACAGTGGGTCATCGAACCGGCGTTCCTTTGCAGCTGAGACACATACCTGTGTGCTTCGAGTGCCTCTAACGTTCATTTTTTCACGACCGCTGTTCACCAACTCCTCATGCAACTCACCGAATCACATGCGAATGCAATGGGAAGCTGATGGGATAGGCAGGGGGTGTTTCAGGAAGTTGGCCAATAGTGATCCGAATCCTTGAAGGTTATTCCAAGGATCCTCGGACAAGGGGGGCAGCCAGCCGGGGCTATGAATAGGGGGCATGCAGAGGGTTTAAAACAACCATCCACCACGGGAGCTGACTTCCAAGCTGTTGTTTTGGACCAAAATGTAACATACACCTATTTGCCCGTGGAAATCTTGGAGCACCTCCTTGTGTGTCAACATATAAGTGCTGTCCAAGTACAATCGCTGCAAGCGATCGACTTTGGAAACGTGGCAGGGACCGGGTCCGAGAGTGTGAGCACTGGCCCATTGTCGTACAACATGTGGCGCATCGATTTGCGACATGTACAGTGATTGTGACGTAGCCGATCACTGTTGTGATCTGCTACCTGTCACCATCCCCCACATCCAATGATTCCCACTGATCTTAGGATCAGTGGGAATACACTCATAAGTCACTGTCAAGTGCCGCCCTCGCGGCTTCCCCATCCAATACACTACCCTTTTGCAAGGGTTGGATCATAACCAGCTCAATGGATCCACAGGTTGTTGTCTCATCAAACAATCGCTATTGTTCAACATCAATTTTATCACGATCGCCGGGATGTGCCCTCGCTTGCTCCTCTATGCCTCCGCCACGGGCTCCAGCGCCTCGATCACGCCCCTCGTCGCTATGAAGGCCTTCAAACGTAGGCCACACATAGCAATCTTGCTCGTCACGGACTCTAGCGTTCCTTGGGCTCATCGCAACTCTTCATGGGCATGCAAATTCTATGCACGGCGATGCAGACCGCTGCCAGGCAAGCAGCACAATGTAGCCCATGCGATTCTGCCACCATCATCATCATCGTCATCGAGCCTTGGCAGTTACAATCTCGCACCCATGTGTGAGCGCGTCGCTGCAAGTCGCTGCCGCCGTGTGTGCGCCTTTGAGGCGCCCTGCGACTCGGCATCCAAGGTTGCCGTTCGACATCATACTCCATAACGCACGACACATGATGGCAAGCGCAGACACACAACCCAAGGTACGGGACATCATTCGTACATTCGCCAGTTCGGCTAATCATCATTATCAGTTGAGCATCGCTCCCCAAGTGCACGCCACCATTGGGGCCCTTGAAACTGCATGTTCTGCCCAGAGCCCTGCAATGAATGGGTGCAATTTTCAAAGCAGAATGACTGTCCCTTTTGGCCAATTCTGTTGCCATCCAGCAGTTGTAACATGGTCTATATTTTCATTCATCTATCCAGCACCGATCACATTAACTCTGTGATGAAGAATCTAGCATTTTCCACATGAATTCTGCCTTTTTCAAAGGTGCCTTTTGCCACGAGCCCATCATTGTGCCGATGTGGCACAATCACTAACATCGAATTTACCACGTACCAATACAGTACAGTAAAGTGTTGTGTAGGTCTGTATACCTACAGGTCTGTATACCTACACCTCCAGCCTGGGGCTGGACAGATTCTCAATGTCTCGACTTGGCTAGGCGCAAGATTCGGCATGAAAATAGTCGCTCTGTCATTTCCGTGAAGATATCTTCGCATTATGGCCTGAATGCACATGTTCATTGAAAGGACCCGCTCACACACATTAAACCTGCAGCGTTCCTGCACCCACCCCTGCCCCCAACCCCAGCAACGCCACCCTCCCACCGACCTACCCACTGCCATCCTTCAGTCTTACAAATTGGAAAACAAACGAGTCCCAAGTTGAGACTCTCAACCAACCCCCCCCCAGAAGCAGTACCGGCGTGCGTCCCCGAAAAGCCAGCTGCCTGGCAGGGTCGCAGCAAAGAACTCACATAAACGCACAGGGCAATGCCCGTGGTCACACCGATTCTCCGCACCACGTCACCACGCTATTCTCAGATTCATCCGGCTCCAATGGGCACCACCTCTTGGGATGGCTGCTCACCAGCGCCGCCAGCCACCGCATGAAAACCGTCGAATCCAGCTCCTCGACCCCAATTATGCGCGTCAGCGCGTCCATTACGCAGCGCTCCGACCTCTCCACGAATGCGAAGGGCCGCGGGGCCCCGTCCAGCGCGTCGCAGGGCACGTCCGCCCTGAAAGCGCCCCCGTGGCGTTGCATGTATCCCCCGCCGTACTGGCCGTGCGGGTCCCGCTCCGAGTGGCCAAAGGCCACGGTGACCCTGTAGCAGGCGGCGGCCCGGCGCTGGCCCCGTTTGGCGGGCGTCACGCTGATGTTGAGCGACACGGACGCCATGCCCGTCGCGTCGATGTCCACGATGCCCCTGTAGCGACAGTGGCCGCCCTCGACGGTGCACCGCTCATACACGGGATAATAGCCGTCGACGTCCAGCAGGTTTTCGGCGACGTCCCTGGGGCAGCGAAGCCCGTCGAGGTAGCGGTCGATGTTGCGCAGCAGGACGCTGTGCCGCACGCCCAGCCGGACGTCGGAGCACTGGTCCTGGATTTTGTCCTCCAGGGCGGCAACCTCGCCTTCCACCGCCCTGGAGTTGCCGTACCTCTCCTCGTCGCTGCCGGCTGACAGCAGTCTGGGCACAGGAACAAGATTTGGTCGTGGGCAATGGACAATCTGGCGGAATTCGGGCATGGATGTGTGCAGCAACGAGGGACACGTGGTATAGATGCGCAGGCGCCCGATAGTTGCAAGAACCCATTCTGCAGTGTAACGAGTTGAATGCTATGGAGATCTTCAGGTCTAAAATTAGGAACATCTTCATCCACATATTAGTGTATTTACTCATGTATTTGTTTGTTTGTGCATGCATTCATTTATTCAAACAATTTTCAGCTAAATGAGAGGTGTGTTCATGCAGAGTCATCTGACACATCAGCACATGCATTGCTGTGCACACAACAGCATGGACCCATAAAACATGTGCCTGCCTGTGCACCTGCATTGGCACCCCTGCACTACAGCATATTATGAGTACATCTGGGGAAAGGGCTGGGGGGGGGCACAGTGGTCTTGGTGGGATGAAGTGGGTGTACCCCAATCTGCAATCAATTTATAAATATCAGCATCAGAGAAGATGGTTACTATCAGCTGCTTCGTACAGCGAGCTTTGATAGAATCAGTCTGGCACAGCAAAGGGCAAAATGTTCGGTGGCTTATCTATTCGAATGGCACTTTTGATGCTGTCGGTGCTGACCACATTCTTGTGATGACAGCTGCTGGAATGTCGTTGTAGCTCCACAACTGGTCCGCTGCAGTGAGCGAACCATCTGGAGGCCTTTGGAAGTGATCCGTTGATTTTAAAGTGGAGTCAGCCACCTCAGTTTGTGCCCACAAGTAACATTACAATCATCACCATTGTGGACACAAGGGGATGCTGTGATGTGGGAGGGGAAGGGCAGCGCTTGGTATCTACAAGGCCACAAGGAGATGGGAGCTCCATTTGAAAGCACACTGCACTACCAGTACCAGCAACACCGACTACAAGGGAGATGCTTTCACTGAGTCTTATGGTGTGGAAAGTAGGGTCGTAGTTCCTTGCTCAGGATATGCGTTGCCCAATACAGGGCCTGCTTACTTCTCTCAGGGAACTCTCTCAAGGCAGCAATCGCCAAATGCTATGGCTCAAACCCAAAACCAAAGTGAAATTTTTCTGCTGTGGATGCCAGTGAACCTCTGCAGATACCCGTTGGAGGTGATTAACAACAACAGCAGCAGCAGCAACAACAAACAAACAAATAAATCAACCAAAAAAACAATATACTCCTGATCTTATGAATGAATAATTCAGCAATTTAATAACCTAAGTTTAACATTACAAGCTAGCCACACCTAATGGCACTCTGTTTTAGTTGATATTTTGCCCTCTTCCACTCCACCGCCGGTTTTAGGCTTTCCTTGAGCTTTGAGGCTTCCAGGAAGGCCCTACAGCTGATGCATGCATTGGCAAAGCAGCGAGCGTCGAGGATGGCCAGAATGGCAGATAGACACTCCCGAGGCATGTCATTCAGCCTGCATCTTCTTGCCATTACCCTCAGTATTCAGCTATATAGCACAAAGAATGAGGCCATCAGATCCGCCTGTCAATCAAGTCAAAGATGCCATGATTCACTGGAAGGTTTCCAACATTTGAAGGTGCACTTCCAGCTGCTGCATTCATGACTGGTACAGTGTTACTGTACCCAATTAAATCAAGCATATTTGCACAAAAGCAAAATGATTGATCTTGCAAGAACTTGGAGAACAGCAGCAACGACCACACAATGCCCTCTGCATATCAAATATGATCGCAGGGTTTTCATGGTTGTGTGTTCACGTGGGGGAGAAGCAGCACCCTATCATCGACATTGATGCTCTTGTTTCTTCACATGCGCTCACATCTTTAACATTTCCCAACAGTGCCAAGCGCCACCCGTGTTTGCAGCCATATCGACTGCAGGACTGTTTTGCCAATCAAGTATGGGTACATTACCAAAACTTACAAAGCAGAGAGTTTGCTCCTTGAAAACAATCACAAAGGTCGCATTTGGTGTGTGTTTGGATGAAATAAGGTGCAATCAATGGCCGACACTGTACCTGCAACCCTGAAGGCGTGGTCAACTTTCAATCGAGTATTCTGCCTTAGCAAGACCAGCATACAGTGGATGTATGTAAGGGTACGGCACCTGAATGTGGCACAACTTCAATTGAGCAGCTTCAGAACTTAAGGCAACAACCGACTTGGTAAATGACTGAGTTGGCTTGGACATGACACAGACCGATCCTGGTGTGTCGTTGGCTGCTCAACTTTCTGCAATATTTTACTAACAAACAGGGCCCCTGTGATTGGAGGAAGAACAAGTGGCACAATTCAGCTGCTGGATTTGCCACATGCCATGATTCTGCTGCCTTTGAGCTGTAATTCTTTCTTTTTCAGCTCTAACCTTGGTGTTGCATGAACGAGCAGAGTGTAAACGATGCATATCAATGGAGAACAAAAATTTTTCTTTGGATACACAAGCATCCGTCAGCACCTTCAAGCATCACAGCCATTCTCTTGCCCCGAGTAGTCCAACGACATCCAAAAGGATTCTGACGTTTTGGCTCAATTCTACCACAAAACCAATGAATCTTCTGATTATGCTCCCTCCATGGTTTGTTCCAATGATATTGATGGATTGGCCCACCCAATCTAGCTCCCACACGTTGCAGAAAGGGGGTGTTGCTCATTCCTCTGAGGGCGCACAGGGGGGCTTATTGAGATTGATGCCAAGTTGAATAACAGGCATCTCGAATGGATGGCCATGACGGCTCAACGGTTGCTGACACAGATGCAATCAAAATGGGGTATTGATGGCTGTCAAGCGGCCGCTACACGGCGATGATCGCCTACAAGGTCATCACCTGCAAGGTGCAAGGGCACCGCTTTGTATTTTCGTAAGCAATTTTACAGGATTGCAAAACTCAGCGGAGAGGCCGCTTTCACGTGCCGGGCCCTCTTGGCGGCATGTGCGCGAACCCTCCTCCCGCACCACCGGCAGGCCTCGCGAGAATGAGCAGCGAGAGGCCGTGAGCTACCCGCCGTGCACCGATCGCCTCCGGCCTTTGAAAGAGGAGGCGAGAGCTTGAGACGAAACAAGGAGAGACCCAATACCAGAGTAACGTCAGGCTTCGTTGGGGACACGCAAATTGAAATCCCAAATCAGAGCCGCGAGCTTTTGAAGTTGCCAAAGTACACCACAGCGGCCATTGGATCGTGTTGCGAGAAGCCCGTGTCACCTCGCAGAACGCCTTCGGCCTTCACAAGGGCGGTTTCGCGCCAGCGTCGGCGCAGGAAGTCGTCACAATCGCCGCCTCACCACTCTCGACTCACAGGGGCCGTCTTTTCTCCGTCCGTGGATGCCAAAGCGTCGAAATCAACTGGCGGCCTCTCCAGTCGCGCCAGCGTTTGGGCCCAGGTCGGCTGCGCACCGAAAACTGATGAGCCGGCCACATGTACTTCACATCGCAAAGTACTGTTAGCTGACTTCCTCTGCTAAAAGTTCCCTTGCAAGACGAAGCGGTGCCCTTGAGCCTGGTGTATTGTGCAAAATGTTGCTGGCGAAAGGGCTGCATCCTCCAGAAGGACTGACTACAGTTACTGCTTGGCAGTGGAGTAGTTTTTGTTCTTCCGCTGGCGCTCCTTGCCCTTCTGCGCCCGAATAGTGCAGACTGTGTGTGTACAGGCTGTATGGGGCCATTCTCCAATGATGCAAGCGCACTGACAGCATGGTGGTAGCCATGAGGCACGGCGTCGATCGTAGTCCAGCGTTCGAACAACGTTGATTCGACACGATCCATGCAATTGGGCATTGGAAAGTTGTGGGCAGTGCGCTCGGGCACAATGGCCTCCACATGCAGACCTGCCTGCATCGATCGCTGAAACATCCCTCAAGTCCAAAGGCCCCAGAAAGGAGCCAAAGGGAGCCGCAACCAGTCGCATGATCACAACCTGCGTCAAGGCCCTAACAATAAGTCATGCATGAAGGGAGGGGAGGAGGCTTCGGGAGTGATGTTCGCCTTGTTTTCCTTTCCCAAAGTTAGCGGACAGTCCCAAGCGGGGCACCACAGTAAAGCTGTGTTGCATTTAGGGTGTACCGGAGACATGGCGCATTAGAGAGTTGCAGTTCCCTGTACATTTCTTTGAAGTCACCAGCAACGAGAGCTGCATCGTGTACAATCCACCAATGTCCGATACTCTTGATTTCCGGCCATGAGGTCACGAAGGTCATGAAAGTCATTTTCGGGTTTCAGGTGCTTTCAGGTCTTTTTAGGCCTTTTTTGGGTTTTTTAGATTTTTAGGGTATTAGATACATAGGGTCCTTCATGACCTCCAGTCCTGACCTTCATTGCCTTTACACTGGTACTGATGGGTATCGGACAATCCTACAGTCGGGTGGTAATGACACGTAATGCCAACCAGCACGATTCCTCCAATACTGAGCACTGAAAGCGGTGCCGGGCTGGACTAATGGGGGCGCAGCATGTTTGCAGTTGCCACACTGGTTTCCTGTTCAAAACTGGACGAGATGTAATGCATTCAAGTGCATGCTCAGCAACATGGGCCTTCCCAATTTTCTACCCGATGAGTCTGTTGGTAACACCAATGGGGCTGGCCTGTATACATTATGTTCCTTGATGCTGTGGGAGTGGGTTTTTTTCCAATGATTGTGTGTTCCATGTAGGCCACTCGCAAAGGGACGCTGTCTGACTATCTGAGTTCAGCAAAGGCAGTAACATAACCAATGTGTCGAATTTTCACGTTGCCTATAAGGATCTTCTTTCATTCGTTCGCTTGGGACGGCCTGCATGCCATTTCTGCAGGGTCCCTCTCATGCTATGGGGACAACAAGCAGAACGCTTGGCTGGACACGCCATAGGTGAAGGTCGCGAAACCCGCTAATGGCAAGAAACATGTGCGAACACGTGAGCGCGTGAGATTTACAGTTAGGGTAAGGATGTTCCGTTTTGCTCTGAGCAAGCCGCCGACCTTGTGACGTCTGCTGCATACACGGAGGCAGGAGAATATCTGAACTGCCCACCGGGGGATGTGGCCCAGTGATGTGAGGCCCTAAACTACAACCCAGAACCCTCAGCACAGCCCCAAGTAGCCACGCTCCCCAAAAAGGCTCGGATGCACTGCTGTACGTGGTTTTCAAACTCACCACGCAGCGGCAGACGTTACAGCCCCAGGCACTTGCGACTTTGCCGATCAGTGCGTCACACTGCGTGTCTCTAAAGCTTGCTTGCCCGTGTCTGCACCTTGGGTGCAGACACGAGAATTGGCAGCAGCTCCCGGGCACTCCAGTCTGCCCCCTCTCGTCAATCAAAAAACTGCGGATCGCTGTGTTTTCTCTTCCGCTCCCCTTGATGCCTTTCCCAGGGGCGATTCATTCGACGATGCTCTTTCCGCACACCATCAAACCAACAGTCGGGCTCTCCACCTGAGCAACAAAACGTACGGTCATTCGACCGTCGAGGACGCCAGCCATGTCATGACTTCCCGATGGTGCACACCATCCATCGCCTTACAGTGTCCACTCTGAGAATGTATTGGTCCTCTGTCTTTTCCGTGAAGATCTTCTTCCGCTGACAAGGCCAACGCCGGTCAGTGTTTTTTTCAGTGGTTTAGGGTTGAAGGTGTCCGAAACAAGAAGAGATATTCACGGAAAACACAGAGCGACTAATTTCATGCCTTGGGCTGTGCATGGAAACGTGTCAGGCTGACGTCAGCCTGACACATTTCTTTGCGCCCAAACCTAAGTCGACACCGTCCCTTCCAACACGCAAACTCTCTCCCACCTCCTGTGCACATCCACTCCTCTCACGGACTGGCTCACTAGTCCCCCCACCGCGCCGGGTGGCTCCTTATGACCGCCGCCGCCCACCTCGTGAACAGCTCGCCTGACTGGACCTCCGAATACCCATGCCTTCCGCCCGCATCCCCCAGCGGCCGCCTCCTGCCCGGCCACTCCATCCCCGCAAACGCCGCCCTGCCGTCCTTCTGAAAGGCCTCCTTCGGAAACACTTTAAAAATCACCCCGCCGCTGTTGCCCTCGACTACGTTCCCTTCCTCGTCGTCAGCGCTGAGATAGTCGTCGAAATCGGCCCCCCAGCCGTCTTCGTCGCCGCGGTGATCGTCCTCGTACATTAGCTCGCCGCTTGGGGCGGCCACGATTTTGCCTTGGTGGAGCTCCATGTGGAGGACGTAGCCGGGGGCGTCGCCCCAGCGCGGACGCAGCTCGATCTTCACGCGCCTGCTGGTGTTGCTGCGGCGGTCCGTGGATTCTATCCTGCGGCGTTGGGCGGGGCGTCAGCAACATCCCTCCGTTTAGTCGCACTGCTGGATCGTTGCTGGTGTTGTTGGATCGTCCCTAATCGATTGGCTTTTAAAGTGCAACCGCATGGTCTCATCATTTTGTTCTCACTGCAGATCGCTGCTGGCGTTGCTGGATCGTCCTGAGTCGATTGGCTTTTCAAGTGCAATTAACATGGTCGCATCGTTTGTCCGCACTGCTGGATCTTTGCTGGTGTCGCTGGCTGGATCGTCCTGGATCGATTGGCTTTTCAAGTACACTGACGTTGTCGCTTTGTTTCTTTGTTTTGATTCCAAGACAAAGTTAGTGCTGCTGCAGATGTAGTTATTCATTCTTGAGAAGAGTTATACTGTATGTCTAATTCCTGAAAATCGGTAATTAGGAAATAAATCAATAACTATGAACAACAAGGGCCTGACAAAATGTGCGATATCCATCACAATGCGATCGATGCATTTTCATATGTTCATGAATATGAACACTGCTCTCCCAATTTAAAAAAAAGAATGTTTCTTATTCACAAAAAGACATTTGCATCAATGCAATAATAGTGCACGGGGAACAGGTGGAGGATCTGGTGCTAAGCACATGCCTGGAGCAGTACTGAATGCCCTCTCCGTCGTCTTGGTATGTCTCACTGTGGAATGTCCATGTGCCGTCCAGAGAGAACAGCCTGTCCCACAGGCCGCTCCTGGGCAGGTCGAAGCCGCACAGGCAGGTGGCGGCCTCCGCTCGCAGCGCCTCCTCTCGGAGCCGCACCCGCATATCCGTGGCCCGGCGTCCCAACTCGTCCTGCAATGCCTTGACGCGTTCAGCCACGGTGTACGTGGCCCGCCAGCGCTCTGCAGGGGAGCCGTCCGAGATGAGCCTGGCAGTGTCAGTAGGCCCGAAAGATCAGATGCTGGGTACTGAACTCAGCTCACATGAATATGCAATGTATGTGGAGAGGTGAATTCCTTGTTTTATGCAGCAAACAGGCATGTCCCTTGACAGAAGCAGTACGGAATCAACAAACTGATAACGTCATTAAACTCGCAGCAAACATGCAAAAATTTAGGTGCGATTCCACGTCAGATTCCCTGAGATGCAGCTTTTCAGCCGAAAACAAGTACAAAGCCAAGCACCTGGCATTTACAAGTAGCAAGCACAAGCACTGTGTACAAGCCCCAAGAACACACATGCAGTGCAAGCACCAAGTATTGGGACTTGTAAACATATGCCCAAAGGGGTCCTGAGCACAGACGCCGCAGGCTCATCCCCACCGTCTGGCACTCATCAGGAAGTTGCTCGACGCCTGTAGGAATGCCACTTCTTGATTGACACTCTCCCTCAGCCGGGAGGCCTCCAGGATGGCCTTGCAACTCACGATGGCATTCACATACGAGTGGCAGTCCAGCAGGAAGAGAACCTTTGCAAGGCAGTCCTTGGGCAAGTCGCCAAAGCACTTTGGCCTTTTGAATTTGAGAGGCGGCCCACTGGCGATATCAGGGGCTCCTGACATCACCTATTCACACAAGGACAGCTTCTGTTTTTGCTTGGGCAAATAGATTTCAGTGCATAGCTGGGTGCTCACCAGCAGTTCACATAATCGAACAAAGGATCCGTACTTGCACTTGCGAGCAATTGTCATGGATGGGAATGACGCTCATTCTGGACAGGCAATGCCCATGGCTGCTGGATGGTGAGAGAAAAACAGACAAAGCTTTTGGGAATTGCTTGAGAAAATACACACGTGGATCTGAAGATCGTCTGGCATCGCCTGTTAGGTGCAAAGGCACTGTTGTGCCCTGTTAAGTCAGAAACAGTCTTTGTTGATGTGCACAAATTTGTATTGAGGCGAATTGAGGTGTAGCAGGAGTACACATACTTGTCCCGCCTTGCCCTGCACTGTGGGAACATCTCGTCTCATCTCTCCCCATCCAGTTGTGAACATTTGAAGATTGCGCGTGGCCCTGGATGCGCAGCAACACCTGGACATGCTTGATGGACATGTTGACAACTATTTGCGCGGTGGAATGGTGCTATTGTGCGCAAACCCGCTCCCGCCACATCATCAAACTTGGCAATCGGCACTTGCGCCTAGGAGGCAACGCCATCACATTGCCAGTGGAATAGCAGTGCCGCTGGTATCAATCAAGGGGATGGAAATAGGAAGACGGTCGCGGACACAACAAACTCGCGACCGCGCTGCTATCGGGCCGTCGCCCCAGTGAACCGCGCTTGGGGCGGTTCAGATCGACCCGCGAAGGGTTTCCTGCCCGTACCTGCGGCGCCCGATTCTCCATGCCCGCGATCGAGCCAAAGACGCGCTCCTCAGATCGCCCCAGCTCCCGAGCTCCCGCGGGCTGAGGACGTCATCCAGATGCGGACAGCGGCCACGGGAGGCGGTGTGCCCCCCAAGATGTCCAGGGCAGAAGCGGAGGTGGAGGATTTCGCGTCGACCTTTGATTGGGCAACCGGCGGGAGTTGGCCGCCCGGCCCGACGCCGGGGCTTCGCTCCCCCCGGGATGGATCGCCGCAGGCGGCAAGGCGCACGGCTCAATTCTGCCGGAGCAAAGCGCGGCGGAATCGGTCTGGCCAGGTGCCAGTAACTGTGCGCTGGCCCGCAGTTTTTTATCCCCCGCGGTTAGAAGGGTCCAAAAAAGGCGGGGTAGGCAAGGGCTTGTTTTTAAAGCTTGGCGGTGGAACTGTGCGGATTGTAGTGACGTTGTCCAGGAGTTAGCACGAGAAAAGGCATTGCCAGTTGCACGCGATGATGTGCTGCGGCAGCAGCGACAGGTGATCGGTGCCCCATGATCATGTTTCCGCTGTTAGTGCCTTGCTGGAGTTCTTGAGGGCACGGCGAGGTAACGCGGCGACGTCAGGTACGCCGTGGCAGTAGATGTGTAAACGTTTCGTGTTCTGCACCCAGGAACACCCACATTATCATCCACATTATTACTATTTTTATCATCCACATCATCACGAGTGTGGAAAGAGGTTCGTATTCAATTTCTGCTCGAGAAGAGAACGAGTTTCCTTGCAGTCTGATTATCAACAGCAGCACACAACCCCTCTTGGGTAGATACACAGCTAGGGCACACCTCTGTGTGTTGCAAATCTGATTCCTACCCAGTGCTATCCAAAAGCACAGATTCACACGCCAGGAGCAATCCAAGTAGCTTCTCCTGGTGGCTATGATTCAGCAATGCGGAAATTCCACTCTGTACTGTACCCAACAATCTTGGGTGCCAAGTTTGAAGGACACACATCGTCTCCCTTACCCACTCCTGGCTGCTCGAATCTAATGCTGATTATCAGCAGCCGATCGTCCCAGGATCGGACACTTATTCCAGAGGGTAAGAAAACCGTTGCCAGTGGGAAAGGAAAGTCTGTTGCAATTGCGGAAGAGATGGAATCGACAGATCGCCAATGGATGCAATTCTGGAAGAAATGTTCGGGTCGCCAGCTAATGGGCTCGTCAAAAAATTAGTGCATTATTGATATCACTCAGCTGGCGACCCGTGAGGTCTAGATGTGATGCACAGGGATGTCAACAGCCTCAGCACCTTCGCCACACTGACCATCATCGCATTGCAAGATCAAGGTACTCAAAATGCACGAAGATGACTTTGATGACAAAGATAGATGATGGCAACTGCATCATACGCCCAAAGAGTTCACTGAGATACTATAAGATGCTGAGCACAACGTCAATACTTGGTCGCGCATCACACGGAGACACATGAGTCAAACATGCCCCGAATACCCCTTGACATGCTGAGGAGCACCCAGGTTGCCACTGGGCGCGTGTGTTTGCTTAGGGCTGCCCGCCTGGCGGTTTGCCATGGATCGTGGCGAGACGGAGCCAGGAGGGGCGCATGGAGGCGCCACATGGTTGTTTGATGGGAATATGCCCCGTGGGGCATAACGTGGTTGTTGACCGCGGGAAGTGTGGTAGTTTGGTGGGAATGTGGCCCTTTGGGCACCACGTGGTGGCTGTGGGCAGCGGGGCGTCTTGGGTTGAGTTGTGGTGAAGCGGCGGGCGTGGCAGAAAGATTCCGGGTATCAAAAGAGCATCCCTTAGGAATGGAGGTATTTTGCCAGAGGGGTGCGGACGGCGCCGTGGGAACTCTGTATTGTTGCACTCGGCCTGGCAGCTGTAAGAACGGTTGCGCGGCGTTTGCGTGTGCCTCTCGCGGCAGTCTAGGGACTCAGCCTGGCTGCCTGACTCCCCTGGCCGTGTGCGCAACGTTCGCCACAGCCTGAGCGCAATAGCGCTCGCCCTTTTCACAGGTCGCGGCCAGTCTGTGCCTTTTCTGAGCTGCTTTCTTTGCCGCTCAAGACCAACAGTGCCAGCGCGGTCGTCCTGCTGGCCAGAAGTGACCACCTTTTGTCGCTACACAGCTTTGTCGAGGCGAAGAGAAGCATTTCCTGCGTCTTACACCGACGTGCTGTGGACAAGGCAGCCCTGACCCGTGGACCTGACCTCCGTTTTGACTTCATCGACCGTTGAGGACCAGTTGCGACCGGTTGGGGCGCTCAGATCGGCAGCTGTGAGAGGTTCTACAAGCATATTTACATAGCTGGCTGGCAGTTGGACGTTTGCTACCCGCTTCAAGCTTGCCCTTGTCCCTCCATTTTGTTGGTCGTCTCGGCGTGCCAAGCAGTTCTTCGTGAAGAGCCGGTTCGCGCGAGGGGCAAAGATTGTTCGTTGAGTGCACCCTCAACTAATGTGGTGCTGAGGCTGTCAACACGGCTCAGCTGCCCGCTTGAGGGTGACTTTACTGCGCTATCTCCGGGGACGACGGCCAGAATGGTCCGCCGTTCTTTGCAGGTTTCCAAATGGAAGTAACGTAGATACCGACTGGGACATGGCTCTCAAGTTGCAAAACATGCACCTCATTACCTTGAAAGGCGCAAGGCCAGTGCCTTGCCAATCTAGACAGATCCAAAAAAAGCAATTTTAAACCCGCATCCAGATGCCCCAGTCTCCGCAGCACCCCAACACTCTTGTACTAAAAATAAACAACCTCTCATCTCAACACAACTCTTCAGCACCTGGCATCAAATTCGTCCAACCCGCCCAGCCGCCCGGAGCCTTGCTTGTTTCTTATAAGTGGTGGTGCCCGAGCCCTGCTCAAAGACCTCTTCCTTGGCAGCCTGCAGCAGTGCAGCCTTCTTCGCGGTGTAGACCCGCGTGATAAGTTTCAAAACCGAGTCCTCGGGCATGGCGTACTCCGTCAGCCGCTTCTCAATCAGGCCCTCGATGCGGTGCACCAGCTCGACATCGTACTGCGTCACCAGGCTGACCGCCCAGCCACCCCTACCAGCACGAGCTGTCCGCCCGACCCTGCATGGGAACGCCCAGCTGCTGAGAATAGAAACATATAATAGCCACATCACAGTCATCTTAAACAGCCCAGGAATGCACAGTCTATACATAAAGTCAACGCAATACAGACAGTCTGCATCTTGCCAGCCTTGGAGTAGGATGAAGTGCCCCAAGCCGCAGACAGCTCCAGACCAAGACAAAAGTCGGGGCAGCGGAGCATCGCCCGAGTGCTCCAAGTGAATGGACATGCTTACAGGCAACGTGAAAATTCTACACATTGGTCATTGGTCACGTTGCGTGTCTCTGCTGAACTCAAACAGTCAAACAGCGCCCCCTTGCCAGCGGTCTGCACTGAGTGGTGCAAGTGCCAGAAGGGATGTCACTTGCCTGTGCACGTAGTTCCTGGCCATCTGCGGCAGGTCATAGTTCACCACAAGGTCCACTGTGGGTATGTCCAGCCCACGGCTCGCAACATCCGTGGCCACCAGTATGGCCACCCGTCCGCAGCGGAAGCGCTCCAGGGCGCCCAACCGGGCCCTCTGGGCCATCTCGGCGTGCAGGCAGGCCACAGGGATGCCCAGCTGGCGCAGCAGCAGGCCCAGGCCATGGCAGCCGCGGCAGGTGGCAACGAAGATCATGGCGGAACGGACTTTAAGGTCCTCTAGCTGGGTCAGGAGGTGGGTCAAGTACACGTCCTTGACTTTGGCAGGCACAAAGACATACTGCTGCTTGAGCGAGTCTACTGTCTTGAGGCCCTCGTATGCCTGGCAAGGGGGGAGGGGTTGTCTCAGTCAGGATGTATACATGCAATGCTTCCACCTTGACTGAATATCTAAACAACATGGCATTGGAGCAACATTCAGATTCCCTTAGACCTCAGGCCCAAAGTACAGAGTCCAAAGAGCAAGCTTTCGGAGCAATACTGCGGGTTGAACACCATACCAGGATTAAACAGGGCACTGATGAGGAGATGCCGATCTGGACTCAAATGTTGTGTGTTTCAAACCGTTCATGTTGTTTGTCCAAAAGTAACAAGTCAGATGTCAACCACTGTTGAAGGTTGGGAGGCATTTGAAAAGGTCATTTCTGCATCTGTCACCGATCGGTGTCCTGGTTTCTGGTGTACGAAGCTCCGAAACCTGTGCTGCAATACGTGTGAACCCAGCACGCTGCCATCAGTGCAGATAGCCAAAAGATGTGATGCATTGTGCGGTGGTGAAAATGCATCCTGGGCCAAGTATCAGATCAAGGAACCAAAAATGGAGACTGACTGACAAGAAAAAGCAAACCTCAATGTGATGAAGCTCCTGAATCCACAAATGTGCAGAGTTCTAATGCAAGCATTGCCCAAATGCTGCCCATACTACAAATAAGCTGGTACTGTTTGCCCAGCTCGCATGCCCCACAGCTCACCTCATAGATGTAAGCATCTTTCAGAGCTGCTTTTTGCAATCTAATCAACGCCGTGCTCATGGTGGCCGAAAACAGCAATGTCTGCCGATCGGTAGGCAGCACTGCCAGCACGTCCCGCAGGTGCGCTTCAAAGCATGGGTCCAACAACCGGTCGGCCTCGTCAAGGACAAGGAATCGGCTGTTACGAAACACCACAGACAACGAAGGGTCGCTTTCTAGAAGATCCTGCACAAATAGGCATGGAGGGCGTCACTTCTCTTGATGAACAATAGGAGGGCAATGCTTCAGTTTGCCTGTGGTGTCCTTGTTCGAATGAATTTGTTGACACATGGCCGAGTACTATCCTCATACCTTGGAGGACGATTACACTGGTTCTGTTTGACATCAGGGGAGCTGAAAGAACAGCATCATGTTGGCATGAATTCTGCCACAAACTCTTGCAGCACTCATATTGCCAGAAGCATGAAAAATACTCTCCTCACAGGAGTCGGTAAATTCTGCACACCTAAATGTACAAAAGACGTTGCAATGGAATTGTGCTGGTGCAGGGTGGAATCTAGAAGTGTGTTTGTGCCAGTCCAAATGATGCATACTGCTACCATGCAACAATGATCGCACAGAAAGGGCAAAATAACTGTGGGCAAGGCCAGGTGTCATCAGCAGCATGCTGATGTTCTGTTGATGCTCATTTCAATTCACAAAATGCAAGACCCATGTGAGAAGCCTCTGAATGAACTGCTAAATCCTTGTCCTTGTATGGATATGCTGCTGGCAAACAAACTGTATAGCTGATCGTGCTGACTATGTTACACATTTCTTGTGGCAAGACAAACTCAGCCCCAACTGTACACCTCAAGCATCAGTTTTGGTAAGGACAGGTGAGAAACACCCCAATGACAAAAGGAAAGAGGCACTGTGTTGTCCATCGCCATGTGTGGACAAAAAAGACACCAACCTTCAGCCTCCCTGGTGTCGCCACCACAACATGGGGCCTGCTTGTGAGCTCCCTCAGCTGAGTTCGGACGTCCATGCGCCCGACCACCACGCTGGTCTGCCAAGCACAAAGGAGCCACACAATATCATGTTCAAAAACCAAATGGATGGGATGAGAATTTGTCCAGCATATCGTGCCAGGTGCAAGAGCACTGCACTGTACTTCTGCTTTATGTGTTGAAGGCAAACGATCAGAGCAAAACTCAACAACAAGTTGTCTACAATGATGTACTGGCAAATCCATTTGCCAATATGCAATATGCAATGATGCAGTAATATGCAGCAACAAGTACTGCATCCAGAAGTCATCCAATCTGATAACATTTGCTGTCACATGGTGCAGCACCACCCTCGCACCAGCAAGAATATGGCAAACAGGATCTATTGTCACAAAACATTCTATCTCAGTCTTGACAGTTCCATCACAAATTGGAATGTGCAAGTAGCACAGGCAAATTTGCCTATGTTAGCAATATGACACAGGGCCTGGCAGGATTCTCATGAGTGTTGTCAAGCATTTTCAGGGTCTTCCACATCGTTAGAAGCCATCTTATGATATGAGTTCAGTTAATGCACGTGCCAGGACTAATGTGCCATTTTCCACGCAGCATGTGATGGGTACAGTTGTTCCTGACTGTGCCAGATCCGAACTCACCCGAACAGACATCCCTGCACCCAGTGCTTTGAATTGCTCTGCCAATTGGAACGCCAGCTCCCTGCATGCCAACCAACCAGTGGCCAGTCAAACCTCCAGCTGGTGCACACTGCTCTGTTCCTGTTGCAGTTGGAAATTTGTGTGTGGAAACTTGTGTGTGTGACCTTGCATGTGACCGCTGCATAGACGCAAGCCTTGCAAAAATTATCCCTTGCAGGCTTCGCAAATGGTCTGCACTGTTCTTTGGGCGCACTGGGCAACATTCATCCATCAGTATAGTTACAGTTACCCTTCCTTCCAAGGTTTCCACTGGCAAATGGGAGTGGAGCAAATGATGGAATTGGAACAACAATGGTGCCTGTGCGACAGAGCCTTGGTGAAACCTTTGTGGGCTTGACATTTGTGCAAACCACTTGTGGCAGCTGGCCTGCAATCTTTTGTGTGTTGTACAAGACACACTTTAGACACTTGCAAATTTTAGTAAGGAAAAAAGAATATTTATCTCTTGCGTGCTGGGCAAGGGTAAGGATAAAAGAATAATGGATTGTTCGAAACAAATGCATGTTCCCAAAGAAGCAGGTGTCGGTTATTATCAGGGGAAGGCGATTGCACAGCTTGTGCTGGAGGGAATATTGGGCCTGGAGACAGAATCACGCTGGTGCCAAATCCGTTCGCCAGCCCTGAGTATTTGTGCGAAAAAGTGGCCCAAGCCCAAGCCTTTTTTCCCAATTCTGCCACCTCTACTGCACCACCTGCGTTTCTGCAGTTGCATCACTTTCAAACTGAAACACAACTGACAAGAGCCCCAGCAATTTTTGCAAATGCGTGGTGCTTTGCGAACCCTGTAACCAATCTACTCTCCATTGCAAGCATTGCATCCACATCCATTCCCTTGACAGCAGTTTGCACACAATGTGCGAGGAAAGGACTCAGTCCAGAGCTGTGAATCAATAGCAAAGCCAATGAAGAACTGCTTTTACTTGTATGTTTAATGTGAGGCATCAGACAGCAGCATAAGAAAGCCCTTGTGTCAAAAACAAGCAAAAATTTCTGCTGCAGAAGCGCTTGTTTCAACGCCTGCAAGGCGCATGCTCCTCCCCTGCCCATTACTGCCCACTCAAGAATGGAGCCATTCGCACCCATACCCAGTACAACAACACCCCAGCAGGCGTCCCTTCCCCCTACCTGCACACCCCACACCCACAAACATCATGCTTTCGATTTCGTTCTCATCAACAGTGGCACCTGTAGAGCTGCAAACCGAAACAGGGTCCGTTGTTTACTTCCTTAGGAAGGGTTGCTTCGTTGTGTGAAATGTGAATTTCGGGGATTTGAACACATCCTGAACCCCCCCCAACCCCACCCCAACCCCCCACCCCCACACACACATGCCTAGGAGGGGATGCCCTTTGTACGACCTGTTTCTCTTTTTTTGTTGGTAACAAGCCTTACTCCCAACCCCAACCCCACATGCGTGTACCATGCTTTGATTCCATTTTTGTTGACGGTGGCACCTACAGCGCTGCAAAGTGCAACAGTGCCCGCTGCGTACTTGCTTAGGAGGGGGCTTCCATTGCATTACCTATGTTTCGGGGATTTTAATGCATCTTGACTTGCACACAACCCAACAACATCACCAACCCTCCCACCCACCTCGTCGGCGTCAGCACCAGCGCGAAGACGCCGAAGGGGTCCCGCGCCAGGCGCTGCAGCACCGGCAGCGCGAAGGCCGCCGTCTTGCCGCTGCCCGTCTGGGCCACGCCGATCACGTCCCGCCCCGCCAGCACGGCCGGGATGCAACCCCCCTGGATCTCTGTGGGCCTCGCCATCCCCAGCCCTCCGCACGCGTCCGCCAGCCACTGCGCCAGGCCCAGTTCTGAGAACCCCCCCTCATCCCCTCCGTCCAATTTCCTCCTCTTGTTCGCACGATCGACCTCGCCGCCGTCCCCGCCGTTCATGCCCTCTCCCTGCCCCGGAGAAGAGCCAGCTTGCCCGGCTTTCCCCTCCCTTTTTCTGTCGATTTTTCCTTCTTTCTCCTTTCTTTCTCCTTCCTTTCTCTTTCTTTTCTCTCCGCCGCGCCCTTCGCTTTCCGCGCCCATGCGATTGGCCCATCCTGCATCCAAATCTGCTGAATTCGCTGAACTTGCTGCTTGTGGCTCAACCCCTGCGCCTGCCACAGGTGCCTCAGAAGGCCCAACGAGTCCCCCGTCGCCTGGGGGGCTCGCTGCCACGCGCTCATGCTGCCCGCGGTCCAATCGCTTCACCCCTTTGCCATTTTGTCGATCCAGCTCCAGCGCCCTGCGGCCGCGCTTCTTCCCCGAGAAGAGGGTGATGCCGTCCAGACCCGAATCTTCGGCAGGGGTTGCAGTGGCGACATCCTCGACAGCCCCATCGTCGCGGCGCATCCTTGGGCGCGACGGTGGGGAGAGAAGGGAGAGCGCTGCCGGCGGTCGGGCCCTGTCGCTGACGGCGGCTGCCCCCTTAAGTACATGCTCCATGTATACGGTGGCTGCCGCATTGAGCGTTCTTCGGCCGCTCTGAGTACAGGCTCCAAGCACCGAACTGTACATGGAGGGGCTGGCGACGCCCGCGACTTGCACACTAGGCACTAGCAGTTGCTGCTCCTTCCGCCATGATCGCACCGAGCAACATCACACGATCGTCTTCCGTGCTTCTGTTGCATTCTTCCGTGGTTTATTCCGCCCTGCGGACGTCTTGTTACTCTTTGGCCGCCCTTCTTCAGAATGGAAGCGGCCCCGTGGCAGCGAAACACTCTGTCCTCATTTTCAATGCCGACTGTTCGTAAAGACTCATTTGTGGGCACACGTGCAGAGTAGTGCTGCATAGTGGTATCTCCACCCAAACACAGGCAGGCTTGGGAAATGTGGCTGGGTGAAAATAAAAATACGCAATACTACACGTATCTTGGCAAAATATAAAGTATGCGTATTTTTAGACGCATTCTTGATCAGTTACATTAAATGTCTATTAATTTGGCCAATTAATGCGTGAGATATGCAACTTGCATCCCACGGACTTGCGACCTGCAAGTCACGAGGGAGCTGGGACGCGGCAAGCAGTGAGTGGCGATGCCAAAGCGCCCCCACGCTGCAAAGCACTTCGCGGATGTCACTGCCCGACGTGGCACGTGTGTGTACCATGGCGTCGTTGTGACGGGTGGCGATAAATGCCAGCGTTGCCATTGGCCGGCCTCACCGGATCTGGGGTGTGGGCGTGCCATGGGGACGTGTTGGACGCTGTTCGGGAGGAGATGACACGCCTGCAAGAGGAGCGCCGTGAAAGGAAACGGTACAACGAAGCTGCAAGGAAGGGCAGCAGCATCTATCCGTCTGCCAGGCGTCATGGATGCTGGATGATTGAATTTGCATGTCAATATTGTTGTAATTGTGAAAATTGTTGTGGTATTTTAGACACCGTTAGCACATTTCATTACAAGCTATTGCCTAAATGAAACCTGCGCCTAGTTCTTGGACGAAAGGGGCCGGAAAGTGTCCCATACAGGAAGTGAGAGGCCCCGCGTTCTCACCCATAACTTGAATATCTACCAAGATGCGGAAAGCAACGCATGTCCTGACTATTCACAGCCCTTTTGCAAACTAACGTTTTTACGCGTAAAAACGTAAAAGCAAAAACGTAAACGTAAAAACCAAGCCTGGTTGAGCCAGTGCGCATTCCCCGTGGGCTCGCCGATAGGACGCCTCCAGCAAAGGGCATCCGCCTTCACCCAGGAGCTCTGCATGCTGGCCTGGATGATGCGCAACGGGTAGCTGGCGATGGTGGTGCGCACCAAGGAGCAGGACGGCGGCGCCCCGAGCTGAGACTTCCAATTATGTGGGTTGCGGCAATACGGGTGCCCTGGAAGGTTGGGACAGAAAGTGAGCCTTGTAAACTCAACTTTCCAATCGGTCTTTCGAAAGAACGCACTGATGCGTGGTGTCTCTTGAATTTAAATCTGGAACACCAGTGTGTGCATTCAATCAATTGGTGTCGCATTTGCAAGGCCAGCCGTTCGACGGCTCTGCTGACCAGACAATTAACCGATGAGTCGAATCAGTCCACCAGTTGCTTGGCCAACCAATCGATCAGGTCATGACCTGATCATCGGCGGACGAAGGGTGAAATTCGCAAGACCACGCGAGGAGACACCCGATACTCGCATCTACCTTCCTTGAACGTTTTGCTGCTGTACTAATGGAATAAGATCGAATTTTGCTGCTTGCAGCGGCCAAGGCGCCGGGTCATGTGGCTAATGCTTCTGGGCAGACGGTCGAATGAACTCCAATACTGGCGGCGCATTGCGAACGAGTTAGCAAGCAAAATGCTCATGGCATGCCGCAGGAAACGAGACGACATACCACTAGGGAAAAAAGGACCAAATAGCACTTTTGCCAACACGCATGTATCCAATTCATCACTGTTCCGCACGCCAAAACAAGAAAATAACCCAAGCCGGTAAACTGTGTACACGCTTGTTCACGTCTTATTTGGGCCTTTTTTCCTAGTGCACTTTGGCAAATGCGCTTGCCGAAATAGGCCCGCTAAAGCACGGAAATTGGTGCAACTTGCGATCAGCAATGCGCAGTGTGCACTGTAGAATGGACACAGCAAAAGCGACCGCAAATGTGCTTGTACTTAAATGACCAGAATGCAAGCGTAGCAGCATGTCTGTTCGAAGGGTTGTTGCCCACAGGTTTGGCATGTGCCTTCTGAATCGATGGCGCAACGGCCAATGTTTGTTAGGCGAGTTGAAAGCTTTTGACAGAAATTGGATGCGGGCGGCGCGAACAACTCGCGAAACAATACAGCTAAGGCTGAGAAATCAACTTTGGCACGGGATGTGTTGATTTGTGTAATCTCACCATAGCAGTGGGTGCAGGCGGGCGGCGCGACATGGTGCTCGAGCAACAATCGTCTTGTCCAGCCCATGTTTGCAGCACATGGTGGTTTCTGCACGTGTGTTGCCCAGCCAATCGACCAAAGCGCGCACACCATTCATCAACTGATCGTGGGCATAGAGATCTGTGACACGAACTGCGCGCGGTTCGCGAATACGCGTCACGAGAGGGCGGCTTGTTGGGATGTCACCGCCAGCTGACCGCCATCGCGCTCGTTATCGTCGCTTCAGACGGCTGTCTGAAGCGGCGGTCGTGGTGAACACGGATCCAACCCCTGCCTGTCGCTTCCGGCTTTGCAAAGCCGGAAGCGACAGGCGGGATCTGGATCCGTGCTCACCACGGCCACTTGCACAGGTCGATAAGGCGCAGGCCCTCGCGTGGTGCTGCCACCTTCGCAGGCCTTCGTGTTTGGCCCATGGCTTCGCTCCCGAGACGACTTCAGGGCGATCCCTCTTGGCGCCTACCGCACGTCGCCATGCGCGGGAGCGGCGGCCGATCGACAGCCGCCGAAATTGCCGCTGCGTCGGAGCGGGGCAACGACCTCGCCGACGATGGCGGCAGCGGCACCGTCGCCATGCTCCTGCCCATCCGCGCTCGAGGAGCCGTCGAGAACCTGATTTCGAATCTGGAGGAGCTGGCTGCTTCGCTTGAAGCCGACCCGGCTGCGAAATACGCCATCGTGTTGGGCGTGGACGACGACGACCTGGCGCTGTCCGACGCTGCGACCAGGCTTAGAATCGGGCAGATTTTTGCGCGGGCGACCGATGTGCAGTGGATGGTGATGCAGCCCACGTGCCCCTTTGCGGCCTGCCGCGCGTGGGCAGCCATGGCGGACGTCGCCTTTGGTCGCGGCTTTGACTTCTTCCTGCTGCTCGGGGACGACGTGGCCTTCGTTTCCAGCAACTGGTACGGCATGATGGCGGAGGCCTTTTGCGGAGTGGGTGCTCGCGCAGGACTGCCTTTCGGCATGGGCGTCGTGGCCCTGACGGAAGAGACCAGCCCCTCGTGGCCGACATTCTCGGTGTTGCACAGGAGGCATTTCGAAATTTTCGGGAGGTGCTTCCCAGAAGAGTTTTACAACCAGGATGCAGATCCGTTCCTTTTTGAGCTGTACAGGAGGCTAGGGTGCGCAACATGAGGGGAGGGGTGGTTGGGGGCCTCACGGAGCGCCCTCGATCGGCGTACCAGCCGATTCACACAGAATGGCGGACGGATCTGCTGAATTCTTGGTTGAGGATTCTGGAATCAGAGTGCGCTAGAATAAAGCCGATGGTGACAGAGAGGAGGCGGCTGACCGTGGACGTTGCAGTGCCAACTTTCAGGCTGGATACGGCACGCCTGAAAGGCATTCTGGACCTGAGATGCTCGACAGCCGACGTGCGGTTCGTGATAGTGGTGGACCGGCCGCGGGATGAAATCGCAAAGTCGTCATTGGCATGGTTGCATGAGATCGATGCTGAAAGGGTGGACGTTCGGATTCGCATGAATCCGTCAAATATGGGGGCGTCGTTCTCGAGGAACAGGGCACTGCGTGAGTGTCACAGTGAATACATTATTTTCTTTGACGACGACGTGGTGCCAGACGTGCGGGTGCTGGAAGAGTACGTGAGGTGTATGAAGTCCCATCCGGAGAAGGGTGGGTTTGTGGGCATGTCTAGGGTTCCAAAAGATGGCCGCATTTCCACCACGGCTGTCCACATGGCCCAGACATTTTTCATGTGGGAGGTAGCCCAATGGTCCACACATTGTGGCAGGAGCTGCCCTTGGGGAGTTTCTGCAAATCTGGCCTTGAAGTGGGCGGAAAGTTTGAGCTGCGGTGAAGAATTTCCCAAGACAGGAGGAGGTGAAGACATAGATCTCTGCGTCAAGGCAGGCGGTCCCCAAGGGGCCCTGGCGCCGGCTCCCCTTGCAGCAGTCGTCCACCCTTGGTGGGGCGGCGGGAGAAGGCTATCAGTTTGGAAACGGGTGGCTCAGTGGGCAGTAGGGGATGGGATGCTGATCAACAAGTACCCAGGCTTTGCGTACAGGAGCCTTCTCAATCTACCGGAAGGCCTGCTCCTGGTTTTTATTGCGTGGGTGATTGCAATTGCTTCGGAATGGATCCTGAGGGGAATTGCCGTCGGTTTTACTGTTCAATGGAAGGTGTTTGCCAGGTTGGCAACATCGATGGTGGCCGGAGACATCTTGGGAAATTTTTGCTGGACGTATTGGGGCAATGGTTGCCAGGAAGTTACCGGCATTCTCAGAGTTTTTTCTTCCTTGGAGTCTGTGGCCACCGTTTTCGCGAGCAATATGGGGAGGCTGTATGGGCATTTGTTGAGGAGGGAATTCTTCAACGTCACGAACAGGTTTGATTGGTTCCTGGGGACGCTACCTGAGGGTCGCGTTTACGAGCGGAGACGGGCCCGATGTCATATGATGGCATGGACTTTTGTGTATTTGTTGGTCTCCATGTTGTGGTGAGCGTGACCACATGCATGTTTATTTAT